TGTAGTGCAAGGCGATACTGCAGAAGCCGAAGGAAAACTACGAAAATTGCAGCATAATTCGATTAAGAAGTGGAACGAGATATTCACGGAATACCACGGATTCCAGGTGTGCCGAAAGACGAAGGAGGAGCAAGAACAAGAACTTTCAATCTCAGTCAGATGAACACGATCTGTACTAAGCTCCGCAACAACCTATGCTCTTCAAAGCAGCCATGATTTTTAAATTGCTACGGGTTGCCCTTAAAGCCGTTCCCGAAGTCACTTCGAACGACATTGTGTGGGCGATCAGAAATTTCAGATACTCAGGCAGAGGCGATATTAGATCGAACCTCTTTAAAGATGGAGGAGCAATTCTGTGTTCAGTTCTTGTCAAGCGTTTTAGGAATATATTAAGGGAAACAAGGCGCCTAAACTGTGGAAAGCATCAAGAAATATTCTTTTCAGAAAGAAAGGTTACTCTGAAGACTCAAAAACTATTGACCAATTACACATCTGCTGCAGGTCTATAGAGTCTTCACCTGCATCATCCTAAACTGTATTCAGGAGGACCTGGAATTTGTCACAAATCTGGAACAGACTGGTTTTCGTACAGGATTTTCTAACATTGATCGTATACATTCCAGTCGCTGACGGAGAATTGCAGTGAAAATCGACTGTCAACTTCAACGAACATGGCAAAAACGCTGTTTACGCGAAGCTGATGGAGGAAATGAACACCGGTTGCACGACTGACAAAATTTTCAGCGAACTTTGTTTAATCAGTATCCATCGGGGGGGAGGTGCACGAAGGAGGTACCACCTCTCCAGCGCTCTTCACCGCGGCTTTGGAGCCATTCTTCAGCCAGCTGAACTGGTGCAACGGCGTAAATACTGATGAACAGCAACTGAAGTATTTGCTATTTGCGGACGACTGCATCGACTTCGCACAAGACATGATGGAGCTCCAGCAGAAGATCCACGAGTTGGAAAAGAATCCCTCACCATCCGATTGAAGGTTAGCCTCTCCAAGATGACATGGATGCTGAATGAGCACTGTTCCGAACGCTCTATTTACATGAATTAAGAAAAACTCGAATAAGTCACGAGATATGCATTCGTTGGACGTCAGATGAACCGTCTTGCTAGACGGAGAAATCAGCAGAGAAGGAAGGCAGCATGGGCCAGCTTTGATCTTATTAAAACATCACTACCCAACACTAAGCTGCTCGTTTCAACCGTCCTACCCACCATGATCTACGGCGTTGAACATTAGTGTGCTACTAAAGCTGAGGGAACACAGATGGTCACACAGAGAGCGATGGGCGAAGGATGTGCTGGGTCTACCTCCGGCATTACGTTTCGAGCGCAGAAGTTCGACAGCGGACTGAAATGACAGACGTAATTTTTTAATTCCATCTAGGCGTCAAAGGAACATCGGCCGGCCATATGGCCCACCTGAGAGACGACCGGTGGATGTCAAGAATTACGAACTAGTTTCTACTGGACGACCAACGTCGATTCGGTCAGCAGTGGAGGCAGAAAGCGGAAATTAGAAAATGTTGCATGATCGTCGACTGGCTTACATGGCGCATCCATAAAGAGGGCAGGTCGGGTAACGGACTGTTAGTCGCTTTACAGGAAAGCAGGGAGCAAAAAATATCAAATGGCTAATTTTGGCTTTCGGTTAATGCATTCGCGAGAAGATCGCATTAAAACCGTTAAATTAATGGCTGATAAATATTCCGATGCTACTAGTGGTAATTGTTGCCTCTTCGAATACATGAAATTTTTTGATTTTCGAAGGTGACAATCGCTTATCCGCGTCTAGGTTCAAGTGAGTTTTGTATTTATCCACGAGACACTACACTTTCGAAAAGAACGAAGGGAAAATCCGATCCAGAGGAGGGATTGCGGACGGTATCGAGCATGCATCCCATTTAAGCGGGAAAGTTGTTGCCCCCTGTTAATGCATCCCCGTTCTTGAGGCGATTCTGAATCACGACGCTCGAATCGTTTCGATCACCTGCGTTGGCGTACGTACGCAGCGGCGTCGACTGGATACAATGCAATAAAATATATCATACATATCATCGTACATTATTGATCAATGCGTTGCCGTTTTTGAAATTGCTGAGCAATCCTTGGTGGCGTAACTAGCGCAGTCCAGTTTCTAATTAAATCATCTATTTACCAAGTTTTCTTGAAATACCCGGTTGCATTCTTATTCTGCGTGATTGCTTTATTATCCGTTTCTCTGCTAGCACGAATTATTTCTTCTTTTGAATCATAATTTATATACGCAACTTAACATGGTAAACGGCGTCTAGTGAATCAACGCTGTTTTTCGGGTGGACATACGATGACCGATGTTCGAAACTTTGCTTCGGCTTAGAGCTTCAAAGGTCATCGGCATCGCACCGACTTTACACGCCTTTGCTACACAATGTTATTTATTTCGGTTATACGAGGCGGTGTAATTCGCGCAACATAACATTTATTAGATTAAATACAGTATGAATGCACAGGATTTCTTATTATCAGTACCTAGTCGACTTTATTTATCACGGTCCGTTGGTGTAATTAGCTCTGAATCCAATTGATATAGAAGAGGGTACCGTGACGTCACTTGCCTAATTCTTAAGAAATGCCATATTCTGTCTAGAAAATGCGAAAATAATTGTAGCAAAAAAGCATAACACAGTCTGATCATGCCCTATCTGTCTTTGGAGGATGGTAACAGAAGCTGGATAACATTGTCAAGGTTGTAGGTGGTACGAAATACGGTATACGGTTAATAGGAACGGTAGTCCTCCAGTTCCAGAATCTAGGTTTCCTCTTCCATTTTCTCCTTTTTCTAAATAAAGCTACGTCCAGTAACGTATTAACGTTGTTGTCTCTGTTTCATTGGCTGCATATTTTGGAGTTCATGGTAAACGCCCGCAGCTGTCTGAAGATGGGGAGAACAAATTCCTTCTTACTTCGCTTTGACGTATGATTGCGTGATTCCGTCATAGCTGGTCTTTTATTGGTTGGTAAGCAGTTCAGATTACAAATATTCATTGAAACGCAGAGAATGGGGCACTGCATTCGGGCATATGAAAGTGCGTATTCAGAGATAACATGCTCACACATTGCGCAGTAGGCAGTCTGAGGCAGTGATCCTCAGTCTTACCCTTTTAACGACCTGAGTTAAATGTTTCTCCGTTATATTTCTCCACGTATAATATGATTAGTTCCTGTTATATTCAGTCTGGGGAAGCCGACTGTGTGTTACGTTTAAGCTTAAAATGTGTTACACGTAATCTTTGGAATTGACTTCTGTATTTCTTACATATTTTCGTTATGATTGTATGCGCTTTGTCCTAATACCGTTAAGCAATATCTCTGCATTAATGTATTAACGTATTTTCGTCTATTCTATGTGCAGCGTCATGACGAAAAACTGAGCCAGTATATATGATACTTGTATTTCAGAAATGTCATTATTTATACAAGTCAAATCTGTGATGCACTGCATCCGTGTATGCGTCTAGTTACATATAGGTATCTAACCTGGTAACGTCGGAAATAGACATGATGTTGAAAAAATTGACTTGTACATGAAAAGTCTGGTAGAACCAGAATGCATGATGGAGGATGAGTGCCAGCGACAAACTTTTCTCCAAACGAAATGAGCTGTTCAAACTGCTCATTAAACGCCGAACCACGGATCAACATATACTGAGGGTCGCAAGAAAGAGTTCAGAAAAGTGAATTAGCAAAAAATGTGCAGATCTGGGATGTCATTGACAAAACAGGGTAGCATATTTACACGTCGAAGCTGCATCGGGCCTAGGTTTTAGTAACCTAATTGAGCAGATTAAGACCTCACCATATTTAAGCGCCTATTGTGCTTGGATGTAAGGCTGCGTCGCTGAATCTCCCAAATATAATATTCACTGATAAAACTGGAAAGCTCTCATTGGTAACAGCTGCCCCAGAACATCGGAATATCAGGATAACATTTTATTTTACTCAATCAGTCAGTTTTAGACCGCATATCCATTTGGGTCTCGCAGACAAATACCTTAGACAGTGTCTTTAATATTTCCGATCTTATGCCAGCGTGCGGCAGAAGATAACCGAGCTTCGATACACTTGCCTTAGTTTTTCTCTGTCCGTCATCGGGGAATTCGGTCGTCGGTTGACAAGAAGTACCTCTTTCGCCTTTCTTTCCTAAATCTTTCGCAACAGGTGCCCAAACCATCGCAGTTGTAACTTCTCAGTCTAGAGAAGCAGCGGCTGTACACCCAGGCCCACAAATATTCTGTACTTTCAGAATCTGTACCTCGTGCCATGAGACGCGACGCATGAACTCAGTGATTCGTCGCAGAAGGCCCGTTTCAATCGTTTGTACCCGGGATCAAGGTTTCTCAGTTAAGCCTACGGTTCATGACATAAGTGAGCAGAAACGGGATGAACATCGACTTGAACAAAGAGAGTTTACTTTCCAGGCTCAGCTCTGCTTTAGTCACGCGGTTAGGATTAGTTCACACAAGCCACTGGCTACTCCAATTCGCCGGTCGATCCCTTCCCCCAATTTTCTGTCATCAGGGAACATGACTCCGAGGTACGTGAACTTCTCCACGTGTTCCATTATTTCTCCGTTTACCTTCTGAGCGCAACGGCAGGAGAACGAAAAGCAGTAGGTTTTTCATGTTAGACACGTTCACCTGCATGCTGGTCACGTCGCACTCGGCTGCGAACCTTTGTAAGGAGCACTGGAGATCAGTTTCAGAAGATGCTAATAAAACAAGGTCGTCTCCAAACAGCAACCTTCTCGACTTCACATCTCCTACACCGATACCCTCATCGCTTTGGCAGCTCCTGACCATTCCATCCATGTACAACACAAACAGGATAGGGGACAGGACGCAGCCTTGGCGGAGACCAGTGCCAATGTTGAAAGGCTTCGACTTAACGCCTGCACCTGTTGCCAGAATATAATGATTGAATAGCCCGTAGCAACTGGCCATAGATCTCTTATGTTTACAGACACCCTCATAGCTTGTTGCGCGAAATTCGGTCGTGGGATTTCTCGTTTCACAAAGCACATGTAAACCGGATGAGCGAATTCCCACAAGTTCTCAACAATTTAGCATGATGTGAAGATCTGCTAGAGATGCTTTGGCGTGATCTGAAGCCACACGGATCTTGTATCTTAGAGTCAGTCATTCAGCCGCACCATTGTTTTAACATCTTTGCGTAGACTTTTCCCCGGATTGTCGATAAGGTATTCTCCAGATAATTGGTGCACTTCGTATGGTTTGCTGATTTCAACAGGTGTGCTACAACTTGCGCTCTCCAGTCTACGGACAACTTCACCGTAGCAACTGCGGTTTGACAGAAACGTTTAAACCAGAACATGCCTTGTCCGCCTATTGCTTTCAGCATTTTTGGGCGGATTTCATCTTTTCCAGTAGCGTCGCCGGTTTTCAAGCTTTTCACGCCTCGTTTGACTTCGTCTACTGAAAGACTAATATTCGTTGCCTGGTACTCCGTTTATTCGTATCCACTTTGACACGAAGCATTTCTGTTGTTTACGTTTACCTTCAAAGTCTCATGCGATCAGTTACAGCCAGTTTTGAACAAAATCTACACCCGACCGGTTTCATTTTGAGAATACCTGCTCGCAGACGCAGAGACTGCCGAACACGGTCGTCATACGGCCAGCTCAGCTCTGGAACTGCGAATATCTAATGGTTTCCGGTTGCAGATTTTGGCCTACTTTTGTAATGTTCATTAAAGATTTCCGTAGTGCAATTACCTTTTAGTGCTTATTTCGTTTTAAGTTCACCTGTAAGAATAACATGACAAGCGGTTCACACGTTGGGTGCGATCCGTCAAACTTTGTCAGTTTCATTCCTAA